AGTCATGTAAAAAGCAGGGGTCTGTAGCAGAGTCGGGTAACTGTGATTGACAATACTTAACTGTATATATTCACTAGTTAGTACAGAGGGTTTTGAGTGTTCCCAACACAAAAAAAAGATGTGTTTTGATGGATAGACTAATTACCCTGATCTGAAATATCATACTGTGCACCATAAATGCATACCTTTTTTGTGTCAAGAATAAAAATAAAGCATATAGATGGTAAAAAATAAACGTGCTGAAGAAAAAGAGTAGGGATGCAACACTGTGAACACTTTGAGCAGATTGTCACAGCAAGTAACAGCATCTAGTGGATCATCAGTAGTTTTGGGGTGTTGGGGGAGGGCACAATAGTTGGTGGCTTGTGTCCTATCTTGAAGATAGGGAAGCATTTTGGAAAAGTGGAAGTGGCAAGAAGTGAGCAGATGCAGGGGGAGTGAAGGTATGCAAAACTGAGGCTTGGTGCCACGGATTGAGGGGAATTATGGAAAATTTCATTTTTCCTGCCTTTTAATGCTTTGGTTATATCACAAGACAGTAAGTCTAGAGAATTCAAGAAAGAGACAAATACCATATTGGTCAACAAAAATCCTTCTTTCTTTTCTTTTGTCTCACTTTAAGGCCTAGGCTGGTTTTAACGTTGTGATCCTCTGCTTCAGCCTCCCCAGTGCTGGGATTATAGGTGTGAACCACCACACACAGCAATAAAAATATTTCTAAGCATTTTAGTCTTGCTTCCACATTTAGAGAAAACTTTTTAACACCCAAGTGCTTGCAGTTTCTTTGTCTGACACTTCAAACTCTGGACCTGAACTTTTCAATAGAAAAGCCACTACCATATGTGGCTCACGTTCTAATTCTATTGGAGGGTGTTATTCCAGAGGTCTCTCTTATGTCCTTGACTTTCTAGCATTCATTCTAGGGTTACCCAAGTCAGAGATGGCTTAAGCCATTGCATGTCAGGAGTGACAGAGGCCTTTGCTACATCCATGGCTGAGTCACCCATGTCGTGTGAGCTTCAGACTCATGGGCCCAATTTGCATGGTCCCTTTCAATTTAAAAATTCTATGATTCTAGATTAGAGTCAATGCTCAGATTCAACTATTAACTTTTTCTGGGTTTCATTACAAGTTCTCCACTACTATCTTTACTAGGTATCAGAGAAAGTCAGAATTATTTCCTTTTCCCTCTGAAGTAGTAAATTCCGAAGAAAGACTTTTGAGAGTTCTGATAAATTAAAGCCATCTTCTCCCCTCCCCTTTCATTTCCTGTCCACTGACTCATCTGGGTTTGTTTACCTATGCACCTGAGTAAGAGATCTCAGTTCTTTGGTTCATGACTATCAAACTTACTTTTAAATGCTCCAAGCATGGTTATTGCACAAACTTTCCTTAGACATCAGTTGGCTCCATCAAAATTGAGGAGCTAAGTCTTATCCCTTTAGACTGTACTGCCAGAATAGTCAGTCATTTTCCTTTTCCTGATGACTTACAAATATCTTTCTTTTAGCAGTTTTTCCTTCTGTATACTGCCTTTGTTGATCCAACTATCCTAAGTATATCAGACACTAGCCTACCTTCCAGACTAAGATCTCAGACTTACTTTTTATCCCAAGAGACAGAGGGCTTGGAATAGTGAGAGGGGAAGGTATTCAGGGTGTATGGTACAGGTAGGGAAAGGTGATGACCCTATGAGCAAACTTAGCCAATGAAACATTTGTGCAAGTTTTTGAAGTGAGACAAAGTTTCAGTTAACCTATAGCAAGTCAAATACATAAAGCCTACCCTACAAATATATGTTGATATAATTCTATTTAATGAAACTTCAATACTGGATGGAAGTTTATTGCTATCCTGAAATCCACTCTCATGATACCACTTTGCAGTATTTTGCCATTAGATTTATTTGTCTTTTGGAATAAACTCTTGCAGCGTATTACTTTTGAAAAAGTAAAAATATGAAAGGAGGGGGGACAAAGAAGGTAAATTTTACTGGTTTGAAAAACAGGGGCACTGGAGAAGGAAAATATTGCTGTGCCTGCAGAGTTTATTTTATTGCAAATGTAAATCTTGACTTTTCTCTGAGTATGGATGAATAAAATATACACACAGAGGTATTTTTGTTATGCAGTATTTCTTGGTTTTTGATTTGAGGCTTGTAGGAATCCAAAAATGATAGGATACTAACTAGTTCAGATTGAAATCTCAGGTAATTGAGCACAGAAATGGTGATATCTGACACTTACATACAGTAGCAGACAGTTACTTTTTTTTGACAGTTAATTTGTTTACTCTGAAAACACACCAATTTATATCTAAAATGAGCAGAATATATTTTAAGTACTTGTCAACTACGCACCAACGCTTTGGAGATGTTTTATTAAATGTACATAAAATATAATTAGCATTGTACATTAACAATATATATTTTGAAAATAAAACTAAATTTTATTGATTATATCTAACACTGGCATTCACACATGTATGTGGAAGATTTCTATTTATTTATAAGACATTTTTATTTGTGTATATTAGTTGTATAGAGGGGTTTTATTGTGAAATTTCCATACATTCTTATAGCGTACCTATGTTAGATTCACCACCTCATCATTCTCATCCTCCCCCCTTCTTAAAACATTTCAACAGGTTTCCTTGTTCTATTTTCATACAAGTATATAAAGTATATCAATCAGAAATAATTAGGAATTCAGTAGTCTTTCCTCATCCATATATTTTTTTTCTTTCCACAGTTTCAGTTACCTGCAGTCAACTACGATCTGAACATATTTCTGGAATCTTCCATTTAATAATACATAAGTTTAAAATTATGTGCTATTCTGAGTAGTGTGATGAAATATATGGCTATCTCACTTGGTCCCACTCAGGTCACAAATCATCCTTTTATCTAATGTATCCACACTGTATATGTTACCTTCCCTTTATTCACTTAGTAACCATCTCCATTAGCAGATCAACTGTTGTAATATCAAAGTAATTATGTTAAAGCAGTGCTTATTTTACACAATAATGGCCCCAAAATACAAGAGTAATGATGTTGGCAATTTGGATACATCAAAGAGAAGCTGTGAAGTGCTTTCTTTAAGTGAAACAGTAAAAATTCTTGAGTTAATAAAGAAAAAAAAAAAAGAAAAATATTATATGCTGTGATTTGCTAAGATCTATATTAAGGTTGTTGTTTATATCTTATTGTGCCTAACTTACAAATTAAATTTTATTATAGATATACATGGGAAAAATAGTACCAATAGAGTTCAGTACTATATGACTTCAGATATCCACTGGCAGTTTTGGAACCTATCCACAGGGTGGAAAACTATCTAAAATATTCACCATGAATCAGTGGTACTTTTTAATAAAAATAAAATGTGAATGAGATAATTTTAAGCCATCTTAAGCTTTTCCTACATAAATCTACAAATGAGACGAAAACAAATAGGATCATCTCCAAAGGCACTTTGTCAATATGTAGCTGCATTCATGTGATCGTTTATGTTGCCAGTTGAAGAGAGATGCACAGAATATTGGTGGCGTCAACATAGTTTTATTAGCATTAAAGCAGCATGCCAGTGATTGCCTGGAAAATAGCTTTACGTTAAGCAGCTATGAGGTCTCGATTTCTTTCTCTCTTTAGGTTTTCCTCTCCTCCCCTCTGTACTGCCCTGGAGCACTGTGTATTTTAGTTTCTGTAATTAAAATGTAAGAACAATTCCATGTTGTTCCTTGATAACTAAGTTGAAAGTTTTTGCTAGTGACTAGAGGTGACCTAGCTGGTTTTGTAAGGTTTGTCTGTGGGCACACAAATAATTTATACATGCCTTCTTTTAATTTTTGACAGCTCCAGCAGCTGCATTTTGTCCAAAATAAGTTTGTTATCATACATGTAAATTTCACTATAAATTATAATTTTAAAATATTATCTATTTGCCATTTCTGTACTGAGTCATTCATTCAATAAATATTTACTGAGTGCCTACTATGTGCCAGGCAAGATGTGAGGGTAGTGTGGATATAGCAGTGAGTAAGACGGATGAAGGTCCTGAGCCTGATAAATGAGTCACACACTTAGGGTGGTGACAGAAAGTGTGTGTTCACATCAACCAGGCAGGAGAGGGAAGGTGGTAGTGGTGTATATTTAGATATAAGATAATCACAGGAAGGCTTTCTAAGGATGTAATAATTGAGGTGAGAGCTGAAAGAGTAGATGTGACACTATCAATGTGACAATGGCTTCACATAGTCAGTGGTATTTAGTGGACTCAGAAGTGAGGGGTTTTGCTTCCTATGATACCATGGGTATGCAATGGTGATATTCTGATTGACCCAGGAACTAACCAGTTAGAGCAGGCACCAGCCTGGCCCTAGAGCAGAGCTTAAAGCACCCTGTTAGGTCAGCATAAAGCCTTTAATTGCTGGGTTGTTGGGAGGCCTCAGGAGAGGGCTGTTGGGGACGTACTTAGAAAGTCAAGGTCGTAGCCATTTACATATTATGGTGTAGAAATATTATAAGTGTTTACACAAGTAGTATGGCAGGTGTGACAGCTAAACATCAGCTACACTTGTGTGTAATTTTATAATCCAAGGTATTTTGGTTAGCCAATTGTAGTTATAGATACTCTTCTTTTTCCTTGATGGGACTGGGGTTTGAACTCAGGCCTTCAAGCTAGCAAAACAGGTTCTGTATCACTTAAGCCATACTTCCAGTCTATTTTTTGGTTTGCTTATTTTGGAGACGGGGTCTTGAGAACTATTTTCTGGGGCTGGCCTTGAACCATGATCTTCCCCATTTCAGCCCCTCAAGTAGCTAGGATTATAGGTGTGTGAGTCACCAGCACCTGGTTTTAGATTAAAAATAGGCACTGAATTCTGGTTTTTAATGCCAGTAGTCATATGACGTATAGTGTGGGTCACACTTGGAGGAAATGGATGTATTCCTCCCAAAGGTAACCGATCTAACTCCATATGTCTGTCATAGGCGGCATCACTGTCCACACCTCTCTACTAAGATTTACGATAAAATAGAGAAACCATGTCTTCTCTCCGAATACACCGAGAACTACCCTACCTATCACTCTTTCCTGCCCAGAGAGTCCTTCAAACCGAAGCTGGAGTATAAGAGGGGATCCATACCAATGGAAGGCCTGACCACATCAAGGTGAGAGCAGGTAGCATTAGTGTATGAATGTACAGCACTAAAACAGTAATGCACAGTACTGATGCGTAGTGATAAGGTAATAATGTACCATATGGGCATGTGCTATTAATGCCTCAATGTACTATATCACCCAAAGAAAAGCTTGCCTTTATTAACCTGCTTAGTTGTTACCAAACTTCCTCTTAAGGAGAAAGGACTATTGCTTGCTGAGGTAGGGGGGCGGTCAAGGAAAGGCTAAGTTGATCTGTATAATAAAGGGAGGAAGGTTAAATAAAGTAATATGGGGTTGGGGAGGGGAGCTGCTGCTGAGATGGAGTTTTGGGTTTTGGGGGCGGCTCCAGGTCAGCTTGGGCAATGGTGGTGAAAGGGAACTGACAACAGAGAAAGAATGGGCACTTTTGCAATTACACTGTAGATTTTAAATTGTGGTTCCCTTGAATGTTCAAGAAATATGAACAAAGACTGTATTTACTTCTAAAATTACTCTTGATGTACTCTATTTGATTTCCAAACCTGATTTTTCAAAGTGGGTCCATGCAGAAGCTGAGCTGTGTGGCTCAGCGTGTTAGTGTTAGAGGTCCCTATTATGAGGGGCTGGGGAAATGCCCAGAGGGTTTTTCTATGGGTTGTAAGACTCCGGTGAATCTTCCACTGACAGCCTGGCTAGTGACTTCCAGGTGATGATGACTGACTGGTGATCCAGTAGAGTAGGAATGCCATTGGGCAGGGTCTTAATGCTTGCTCATTATAGGTGCTTAGAAGACCTGCTGGCTTTTCTTCCTATAGTTCACCCTTTGCGTCGTAATTTTGTGCTGTGCTAGTATAGATTCTAGACGGCCCAAATGAAACAGAACAGATTTTCCCCAGGGTAGGATTAGAAGCATCCTCTGCTGAGATTTGGAGTTGGAGGTATTCTTATGTACTAAAAGCTGCTATCTTCTTGATCTACGGCAAGTCCATGTTTTAGGTTAGAGGCAGGAGGGCCCATAAGGGGAGAAATGAAGCCAAGGGGTTTTTGACTCGGTGGAAACTATTGAACAGGGGCAGCTTGAAAATAGGAGGCAGCTGAGGGCCTTGTCAGCTGCTTGATCTGAATGAGGTCATGTTTATGCTATGCGTTTATCTTAAATGCCTTGGCGTAAGCACAGTGTTACTGGGTCCTGAGACAGTAAAAATTTTAACTGCTTTTTAAAACTACTTACTAAACAATATGAATTTTATGGTTTGGGCTTCCATTTTGCTAAGAAAACAGCATCTCTAAAGACTATGACAAAAGATGTGGACCATCCTGGAGCTTTGTTTCTCCTTTTTAGAAACCATGGGCAATGCTGGCAAAGTGGCTCAAGTGGTAGAGTGCCTGCCTAGCAAGCATGAGGCCCTGAGTTCAAACCCCAATACTGCCAAAAAAGAAAAAAAAATATATGGGCTGTGGAGGTGTGGCTCAAGTGGTAGAGTGCCTGCTTCACAAGTGCAAAGCCCCAAGTTTACATCCCAGTACTACAAAACATAACAACAAAAAACAAACCTAATATTGGGTGGGGAAGGGTTTGGCATCAGTGGAAGGGGGAGGTGGTGGGGAAAGGCGTAGGAGGATGGATATGATGCAAACAATGTATATACATGTATGTAAATGCAAAAATGATACCTGCTGAAACTTCCAGGAATTGGGGAGGGGAATGAAAGAAAGCAGTAAGAAGAGGTGAATTCAAGTATGATATATTTGATACATTGTGAGAACCTTTGTAATGTACCCCCATCCAACACAACAATAAAAAACAACAACAATGCCAATAAAGAGCTCTAGGCACAGGTGTAAGAGACATGTAATTCACAGGAAAAATTAAGAGTAGTGTTGAGGGGTGACTTGCAAACACCATCTTCCACTCTAGATGTGGTTCTTCCCATCTCTTTATATCCAATTAGCAGGAAATCAAGAGCATCTTGTGAGATGTAAATTATCAGGTTCAGCTATTGTTATGTCAGGACTATAATTCCTGTTCTGAATATATAGAAAAGGATGCTTCAAGGGTTGATTGTTCAGGGTGGGGTGGGTGGAGGATGCTCTTTGTTGGCTGAAATTTAGGAGAACAAAGACAAACTCTCAATCGCCTAGCTCTGTGGTCTGCATATGTAGCCCTGCATACCCTCCCTCCTGATGGTGCTTTGTAAAACAAAACTAACCCTCTGACCTGTCCTAAATTATCTTTGCCTTGTGTCACTTACAACAATAAACATATCCCCCAAAAGGACCCTCTGCCTTCCAGAGCCAGAGTAACAATAAATGAAATTTATATTAAGTTGTGCCTAAAGGGGAGGTGAGCTGTTACCGAAAGAATTTCCAAAAGGAGCTACTAATGATCATAAAGCCTTGAGAAAGAAAATGGGCAGCATCCAGGTTATCTATGAGAAGGAAAAAAAGCAGGCATAGGTCTCTCCTTTATTTCCTACTCCAGAAAGAGAAGTCAGGAGTGAACGAGCAGAGGGCATCTCTTCTCAGTACAATTTCATTATTTCTCAATCCCATGCCTGCCATGCTGGACACTGCTTTTCATAGACTGGGAACAAAATTATGCCACTTTCAGGAAGTGCAGAGAAGCCACCATCTGGGTGTTTCAGCAGAGACTTCTGGGGGAAAGGATGGGTTATCTCTGTGTCTGGACAGATTGTCACTCCTCTGCCCTCAGGACCCATATTAACACAAGATCCCACCTACTTCCCTATCTAAAGGTTGGCTCTGTGTAGTTTCTGAGGCTGGACATGGGGTTCCCACCTGCAGCATGAAAAAGTCATGTGTCCCAGGGCTTGGCTGGGTTTGGTGATTAAGTCCAGACACAAAAACCACCTGGTTTCTGGAAAGGTTATCATCCCGGCATGAGGCACGATTACAGCTGCACACAAATCTTATTGACCATAAATCTTGGGGATTTACAACAGGTGCCAGAGGGGAATGCTTGGGATTTCCAGCCCTTCTTAGTGGGAAACCAGTTCTTTCAGCTCTTGGTAATTCTCTCACATAGGATTTGCCTTTAGTTCAGATAGACCCGAGATCAATTTATGAATAAGAGGTTTACACTTCAGGTTCCATTTCCCCTTAGGCATGTCAATCGGTAGAGCACTTGGGTGCACATTTGGGACATTATTTCTGTTAGCCAAGGTAGCTCCCTAAAAACAGGCAGAGATCAGTCTTTGGCAGTGTTAGCTCTTTATCCTAGAAGGGAGTGGGACCATGGGTAGAGTAAATGGAGGCACAGAGTGGGTGACAGAATTGAGGTCAGACATGATGGAATTGACTGAAAGGTAGAGGACAAGGAGTTGGTAGCATACACTTTTTTGCTTATTGATAAGACTCCTTAGTAAATGGAGGAAAGTAAGGGAGGGAAGTGCTAAGAGCAAAAAGGCCTTTGGTATCCTTTCCAAAAGCCAGGAAGGAAGCAAGAAAGTTTGTAGTGGGCTTGAGTCTTGTCCTACTCATTGAATTTTAAACACATACTTGACTCAGAGCTATACCACTGGGGATGTAATTACTCTCCTTGATAGACTGGGCCTGAGAATTGATGAAGACAGCAGATGAAGCTCTTAGTACTGGTCTTGCCTGCAGTTTCAGAGCCTTTGAATTGTCTTTGATGTGCACCTTTGATTAAATTTGTGGGCACCTGGGCTGTCATTTCATCAAGTATTTCCTCTGTCCTTGATGCTTTGCTCATTTATTTTCATTAATCTTGATTTCCTCTTTGTTCTTCAGATGGGGTAGCTTTTATCAATCTATCTTCATGTTTCTCCCTTACCTCCATTCTGCTAAGCCCATCATCCAGTGAATATTTTTTTCAGATATTGTATTTTTCAGTGGTGGCACTGGAGTTTTAACTCAGGGCTTTGCTAGGCAGGTACTCTACCATGCCACGCTTCAGCCCTTTTTTGCTTTAGTTATTTTTAAGATAGGGTTTTGTACTTTGTGCCTGAGAATGGCCTCAGTGGTGATCCTTCTGCCTATGTTCCTGCATAGCTGTGATTACAGATGTTAGCCTGTCAGTTGAGATAGGATCTTATTAACTTTTTGTCCTGGCTGACTTCAAACCATGATCCTCTTGATCTCCACTGCTTAGTAGTTGGTATTATAGGCATGAGCCATGATGCCTAGTCCTCTATCTTTTCATTCATTATGAGTTTATTTTGCTTTTCCTGATTAAGCATAGTTAAAATAGCTCCTTTGAAATCCTTGTCTGCTAACTCCAACATCTGGATTTGCTTGGGGTTGGTCTCTGTGATTATTTTTTTTTTCTTGAGCATGGCTCACATTTTCCTGTACATATGTGAAGTAATTTTGGGATTGCTTCTAGATATTGTGAATATTGTGTTGTGGAGACTCCAGATGCATCCATCCTTCTATCCTCCCTTCCTCCCTCTTTCCCTCCCTCCCTCCCTTCCTTTCTTCCTTCTCACAGTCCTCCTGTCTCAGACCCCAAGTGCTGGGATTATAGGTGTGAGCCACAATGCATGGTTATATTTTTCTTTTTTTACATTCCTTTGAAGAGCAGTTCACTTGATTGGACTCAGAAGGCAAACTACATGTCTTAGGTGGCAGGCCAAGTTTTAGCTCAGTTCTCTGTCCTTAGCAAGGTTACTCGAGGTCTGCCCCATGCAAGTAAGGTCAAGCAGAGCTTTGGGTCCTGTTCTTAACAGAATTTTGGATTGTTGTCTTTCCAGGGTTTCTTATTTTCTAGAACCTGTGCTTGCCTCAGATTTTGTCCTCTGGTCTTCAGTCAAGAAAGACGATAAACACTTGCCACTTCGCTGTCTGGCCTGGCACAGGAGCCTGCTTTTAGCAGGAAGCTGTTACTCTAGCAGTTACGGAAACTTAAGCTGTGAAGACTAAACTAGATACCTCTCTTACCCAGTGGCTCTCCTCCAGAATCTGATGATTTTGCTCACTCTTGAGTGCTTTCAAGTACATTTTACAATATTTTTTCCAAACTTTCTATGAAGTGGTGATAGATATTAGCTTCTGCCTTGGTAGATTGAGGAATTGAGGGCAGAGAAGGAGATAGTTACTGTACAACTTGAATGGCAGGGCATGTGTTAGAATCCCCAGTCTCAATGAGATAGGGACAGCTCTGTGTGTCCCATCAGGACCAGGGCCAGGAATCTAGGCCTGTGGTTCTTTCTCAGTGCTATGGGATGGGCTCCCCAGGTTGCCTAGGATGACAAATAATGGTTTCCTTAGAGCATACCTTTTGACTCAGCAAGTTTGCAAATCACATGTGGAAATAATGAAATAAATCAACTGACAAAGAGCAACCCCCTAAGAGGAGGTGGTGAAAAAGGACAAATCATAAGGAGCAGGATCACAGAATTTAAGGAAGAGGGAGTATTTTTAAAAAATGAGAGGACACAGCAGGATAAGAAACAGTGATTGTTTTGGAAGTAACATAGTACTCAGAGGCCTTGGCTAGCATAAGGACTAGAACCAGGCATGATGGATGGGTCTGCATGGGAGGTGGGGAAAGCAAGTTGACATCCTAAAAGAGAGATGGGATGGAGGAGAACACTTGGAAGAGAATGGCATCTCTTGAAGGCTATATTATAATTTTTTTTCCCTCTAAAGATGGGAGAGATTGGAGCAGGTTTAAATATTGTCAGAAAGGAGACGACACGGGGCAAGAAGAAAAACAACACACTAGGAGATGGTCAAGGATGAGGTCCCCAAGAGAGAGAAGGGGATTCAGGGTAAGGGTGAAAGAGACTGGCTTTGGCATGAGGAGGCACTCTTCTTAAAACAGATTCTATTTTAATATGATTGGTTCCTTGGACAAAATAACAAATTCTAAAATTTTCATAAACATTAAAGATATGTTTTTGAAAAGTGTGGCATTGCTCCTTTATCCTAGCAAAAGTCTTCATCTCCCACTTCCAGGCTCATGACAGTAGTTAGCTTTTATGCTATTTCCTCTTTCCTTTTGTCAGATTCTTGTCCAACACCTTTCTTTAGCTTTGTCAAATGATTTGAAGTCAAGTTTTTATGACCTCCCCAGCAGGACCACTTTAACCTGTACTTAACTCCGACTTTAACTCTTGGCCTTCCAAACTATATAACTTTTACAGCTACTTACCTTAAAGAAACTTAGATCTTTGACCACTGGGTTTTATGTTTTGTTTATAATTACAGGGGGCACAGGCACAGGAAAATGGACCATAGAAGATAGGGGAGAGCGAGAGTTCTCAAAAACCAAGCAACCAAACAAGAAACCTTACTGAATCTGAACAATTTCTGGGTAGAATAAAGAATTTTCTTTTGCATGAACTTAAAGCTGTAAGAGTATGTATAACTGCGGATATGCCGTAATGTGGTTAATGTCAGGTTTCAGTGAATGTTTTCAACATAAAAACCTTACGCGAAACACATAAATTCTGACTAACTTCACTGTTATACCATAGCAACAAAGTACAAATGGATAAAACTTTAAATTAAAAAATTTCCCTCTTTTCAGAAATAGATAACTTATCTCTCCATAATACAGCTGTTAGTAACTTCAGAGGTGCACACTTACAAAGGAGCCTGAGCTTTGTACTATGGGAGATTAAGTAGCAATTTCATTCCTTAAATGTGCATTTTTAGTGCATCTGCTTTTGTCTTTGAGAAGCTAACTTCAGAATAATTCCCAAATTGGTGCATTTCTTCTTTTTTTTTTTTTTTAATTTTAGCTTTTTAAAAATACAAGACAAGTAAGTTATATTAAAAATTACAAGCATAAAAATGAACTTGAAAAATGACACCCTGCTTTGAAAATATGAAGGATTATGCTAATTTTGAATTTTCCTGAGCTGGTGAGTTTATTTGTGAGCATCCGTTTGGTCTTTTCCTGTGGAAGAGCAGGAGATAGGGGCATTAAATTCCATTGTCAGAGAGCCTGGAGGCTCTCAAAGCGTCTCTGACAGATGGAAGGTTCTTGAAGCATTCTCTGAGAGGAAGTTGGCTTTCCTGGTAGGAATCATAGCAGAAGAGGATGTAGTAGCCTCCGTGTGCAGGGTCTGGGCATGGCAGGTTCAAGATCAGAAAGCACTCCTGAGTGCTTTCGGGTGGGAGGGCTCAGTGTGGAAGCTGAGGCATCTGGCTTTGTTACTCATTGCTGGCCTTTGGTATCTCCTGATATCCCTTGGAAGTGAAGAAGGCTGACAGCCTGGGGAGCCATCACTGAATGCAGATTTTTGAGAGCTTACAGATGTGTGGTTTCAGGTTGCCTTAAAACCCTACTGCAGGTTGGTGGAGTAGCTCCAGTGGTAGAGGGTCTGCCTTGCAAGCATGAGGCTATGAGTTCCAACCCTAGTACCACCAAAAAGAAAAAAAGAAAAAGAAAACCCTATTCCATTCCTTCTGGAATGGGAAGAACCTAACTTCTCTTGGGGGGCTCCCTTCAGAACATAAGCTTTCAGACAGAAAGTTAATTTTCCAGGTAACCGGTTTCTAGGCAGGGTTTTCCAGGCATTTCTATTTACCTTGCAACACATGTAGGGCCTTGCTCTCCTAGCTCCCTTCTGATATTGGTTCAGTATTTAGTCACCAGAGTGAGGTAGTTCACTTAGAAGGAGAGAAGTGTGGAGCTGACCCTTGATTGCGTCTTCACCCATTCTTCTCATAAGCCCCCAGTATGTTCAGTCAACTTCCGGACACTTCAGGTCACTTAACTTTCTCTTGCTGTTTGCCCACAGTGGGACCCTGGGCAGGCAGCCCAGACTGTAGGCCCTGCTCTTGCCACTAAGCTATATTTTAAGGTATACCTTGAGGGTGTTATGGGAGTTTAAGTGAAGCATCTCCATTTCCACCTTGGAGCCCTGGAGAGACTAATTCTGCTTCCTAACTCCCTCCCATCCCACCAAGCAGTTTCAGGGTCTGGTTTATTGACAACCCCATGTGTAATTCATGCAAGACAGGTTACAGCAGAGTGTGTTACCTTTGCTAGTCAAGCATGGCTCAGTAATGCTGCTGCAGATTTGGCCGGGAAGTAGGTTTTATTGGTGTTTGGGCCTAATGTTTTCCTGTCCGGAAACCTTCCCCATCCCTTGGCAGGGCTGTTCTGGCAAGCACCCTCAGGGAAAATCTACCTTCCCCTTGTCCAGTTGGATAAATGGGCTCTAGGCAAAAACTGTTTTGTAATCAGAAGCCTTTGATGGGGAACTGTTAGGCAGTTTAGGCTATCCTGGTTGAACATCTCTGCTGGGTATGGCCAGGGTGGCTTCTGGTGGCAGGCAGGCAGCATCTGTGCCTTTCACAACTGTACAATGCTTCAGGAAGGGGCTGCTTTTTGTTCACTGAAAACATTCTGCTTTTTCCATCCTGCTTTTTCATACTCCCTGAAATAATGAGGTCACTGACACCAGTCAGCAGAGAAATGAAAGACTTAAGGTCTCTGATTATTGCACTTTTTTGTCTTCTGGGTTTTCTATAAGGTCAAGGGGAGGAGGGAGATAAACATTAGCAGGAGAAGCTCTTGGGAGCACCAAGAGAAAGGTGGGGGTATCTGAAAAACAGACATTAGCTCCACAGTGGAGGGTAGGTTGGAAGGTGGGTAGGGAGAGCAGGCACAGAAGAGTCCCCTTTTCAGGGTGCCTTGAGGTTGGACTGCAGTGCTGTAGGCAGGGGGTGCTGGGAGATGGGGGTGGGGTGTAAGGCAGAGGTAGGTCCAGGACAGCTTATGAATCATAAGTCATGCTTGAGAGTTTTTTTTTTCTTTTAAAATAGCTCGTGGGTTTTTTTTTTTTTTTTTTTTTGTGGTACTGGGATTTGGAACTCAGGGCCACCTGAGTGGCTCTACCACCTGAGCCACTCTGCCAGAATTGGTTTTTTCTGAACGAGTTTTTTTTTTTTTTTAAAACTGTGGATCAAAATGATCCGAACTTAAATTACAGAATTTGTTTGGCATTGAAGTAGAAGTGGTGAGAATGAAGCAGGAAGCTCACATGGTCTGTCACATGATCCAAAAGTGAAAAATATGGTCAGGGTCTGAAAGAAGGAAAGAGAAAGCCAAGAAGTGGAGAAACTGCACCTAGTGGTAAGAGTTTCTGGGGCTGTGAGGGAGGGCTCAGGGATGACGTCCAGGCTCTGTCTTGGGCAAGAAGGGCACGGTGGTGCCTTTCTCCAAAGTGGGGAACAGAGCAACAAAGCCAGTGAGAGAGAGTAGAAAACAACTCAGCAAATGCTGGTAGAGTTGGGTTGAGTGGAAAACAGCCTTCTTCCAAGCCAAGGACCCCAGTGACTTGTGCTTATTTTCCTTCTAGGAGAGATTTTGGGCTTCACAAAGTAGTACCAGTGAAATTACACCAGCATGACAAATTCATTCCAAGGGAAGAAAATATGGAATTGCTCACGACATATAGACAAGATTACAATCCGTACCCTGTATGTCGAGTGGACCCCATCAAACCTCGGGACAGTAAATATCCATGTGGTGACAAGATGGAGAGTTTGCCTACTTACAAAGGTGGGCGAGCAGTTGGGGAGAAGGGCGGGGGGAAGGCTAGGCTAAGCCTGTGTGCAGGCCAGGAAATGTACATTCTCTTAGTGCAAGGGTCAGCAAACCACTTGCTGCAGGCCAACTCTGGCCAGCAGCCTGCTTTTGTATAGCTGGATGGCTAAAAATGGTTTTAAAGTTTTCAAATGATTGGAAAAAAACTCAGAAGATCCTTATTATTATTTTAGGATGTATAAAAATTACCCAACATTCAAAGTTCAATGTTCATAAGTATATTTTATTGGAACAGCCATAGTCACTCACTTATACAATTTCCATGCCACTTTGTACTACAGTGACAAAGTTGAGAAGTCATGACAGACCCCATGGCCTGCAGGGTTTAAGATATATAATATTTTGTCTTTTATAGAAAATATTTACTGATCCCTGCCTTACTTGTGGTTTGAATACTACAATGAGGAAGCATTTCAAATTTAAGCTAAGTTAGGTTCTATCACTGATTATCCATTCAAAATAATACTGAAATGTGATATATATATATATATATATATATATATACACATATTTATATATATAAAAAGGATATTCATCACAGTTACATAGACCAATGAACTTTAGACACATCTACACAAATACCATTTAGATCAAGAAATATATTACTACTACTCCCTTTTAGTCACCCTTCCAACCAGAACATGACTTTTATCTGACCTTTTGTTTTTGTGGTGCTGGGGATTGAATTGAGGGCTTCATACCTGCTAGGTAAGTGCTTTACCACTGAGCTACATCCCTAGCTACATTATACTAACTTTTAATACCTTAAATTGCCTGTTTTGAACTTTATATAAGTTGGCTTGATTTTTTTTCTTTCTAAAAATACATATATTTAATTGACATAATAATTATATACCCATTAATGGGGCACAATGTGATATTTTGATACGTATGTACATTGTGAAATGTTCTTATCAGGGTGACATATCTATCCCCTCAAACATCTATCATTTTTTTGATGGTGAAACCATTCAAAATCCTTTCCTCTAGGTTTTTTGAAATATATAATGCATGTTTTATTGTGTATATGTTATATACCAGGCATGGTCTTAGGAACTGTGAAGGAAGCATAATGACCTGCCCTTGACCTCATGTATTAGGGTCACTGTCTCTGTGGAGCCCTGACACAAAGGCTAGGGCCAGGGAAGGGAGGCCAGGTTTGTAATTGGCAATGCTCATGCTTGTTGTGCACTGTTGCCATAGGAAGACAAACTCAACAGTTCATGTGAAATGTGGACCTCTAAAGGACTATGAAGAAAGTTGCTTTTATTGAGCAAGCTACATACTTAGGCTGGAGGAGGTGGTGGCAGTGGCGATCTGGAATGATGCAAGAGTCTTCTTTGGGGACTCTAAATCTATCCTTCTGGAGGACCCCAGGGGTGGTTGAGTTTCTTCGCTTCTTTTAGGAACCAAGACTCAGAGCTAGACTGGCCTGGGCCTTTTTAGCAACCTGGACTCTGTCCTTCTTTCTTTTCTTTAGTGTCCTCTTCTACTCCTCCACACCTACTTTCTGTCAAGTTACATTCTGGATGTTATCACACCCTGAAATGGCCCCACCTCTGAAGTCTTTGTGTGCCCCCTTATCCTCTCCGTCTGGCTTGTTCTCTTGTCAACTTCCACCGTGACTGTCCTTGGGCTTTCTGGGACATTAATGCCACCATCAGTCCCTCTGAGATCTGTCCCTCTCATGTAGCCTATTCCCTGTTTTCTCATTGCAGCCTATCTCTTGCCCCAAACACACTCTCCCTCTGCCTAACAGTCCTGGGTCTGCCTTCTCCACGTCTGCACGTGGGCATACATGAGCACGCCTTCACCTGTCAACTCTTACCCATTTAAGAAGCTGTATTTTTTAAAAATTTTTATTTTTATGGCACTTAAACTGATGTCTTCTTTACTTAAAATTGGCCAAATAATCATTATGGTTTTAGGATATAATCCCAAACCTTTTCCCTTGCTCCCTGAGTCCCTCTAATACAGCCCTAGGCCTTCTTTTGGTTTCCTTCTTCCATTTCTTTTCTGCCATAGGGCATTTTATTAGCACATGTGATTCTTTCTGTATAGAACCCTCCTGTTTTCTCTGTGGCACACTCAACCTTCACCAGCAACTGAAATGACATATTCCTAGAGGCTTCTCCAGATCTTCCCCCATGCTAAACTGGAAGTGCTAAAGGCACCTTGCATTCCTTTGTCTTGTAACTTACTCTGCAGTCTTGTATTTAACATTTGATTCCTTGGCCAGACTGCTCTATGGAGGCAGAGATCTCTCTTTTTCTTTGTTAATCACCCTCCTCCCCCAGCAGACACTGGTAATGCCCTACAAAGGAGCAGACAGCCAGGTGCATGGTAGGGTGTGTGCTTGTCTCTTTTTACCCAGTGTTTATAGGAAGACACAAATGGGGTACCATGGGCACAGATGTGGAACAGAGGAATGAATCTAGAGTAAGCTCTTAACCTCCAATGGGGGAAGTAGTAAGGGCTGTGGTAGGGCAGGTCCAACTACACACTCTCCTTTCCTTTTCACCTTCTTGGCTTCAGGTAGTTAGAGACTCTTCAGAGCAACTGCCCACTCAGTTCAGCTTCCTCTTCCCCACCTTGCTACAAGTACAAGGAGAGGCCTGAAAATATAAAATGTTCCTTGCTTGCTTTAGGGGTTAGCAAGGACAGGGTAAGTATAGTAAGTTCAATGGTATTATTTGAAGAAAAGTCCTCCCTGCTCCTCCACAGCAAACTACTCATCCTTCAAAATGCATACACAGAAAAACTCCACCACACAACTCATGCTTTAGTCACTTCTACCTCCATATGCCTTCCTCTACGCATGCACGTACATCTCAAGCTGCCCTCTGTGAAACACAGAATAATATTCCATGGCTAAAACTAAATCATGGTTGACATTTCTGTATTGCCAAAGTTAAAACTGAGGTAATCTAATTTTCTTCTCCTTCATTTTACTTAAATTTAGATACCTGTTAACTGCTTGCCTTCTTAAGCAGAATGAATAAATAAATACCAGTTAAGCATCAACTGGACTGCTCAGGTCCAGGCATGCATAAATGGACAGGGTTTTTGTTTTGGGTCCATATGACCTTGAGGCTGGATTTCACAGTTTCCCTCTAACATTCAGAGTTAAAAACAAATCAGTATGTGGTGAAAGGAAATGTATTTGCAGTAAGATTTGACTCAAGTGCTAGCTTGCAATCTACATGTCTTTAGTTTTTTGAATATTGTCATCTTAGTCCATTTATGGACTAAGGTCATTAAGTGTGTGTATTTCAGTGGGTACTATCTATATTTTGTCTATACATTCTGCTTATATTAGTTCTGCGAGAAAAATACTCCAGCTTTTCCCTTTCTACTCATGGCCAGCACCTTTACTACTGGGGTTCAGAAAACCACCAATAAAAAATGTTTCAGCAGCATTTGGTTGTAATTTGTGACATTTTCAAAACACTGTGCAATTGGAAAGATTGAAAGTGTAATTACCTGATGCTCAGCTTTAGGTTTAGCTTACTTAAAAAAAAAAAAAAAGACATTATTGCATGGAATCTCTTGTAAAGAGGGTCTTGCCAATTACCCACATGTCACTCTGGCCCTGGAGCGCTTCACTGCCGTGTGAATGTTTGTCACATGGAATTCTGATGTTTTTTCCAGGGCCTTGTAGACGTTTTTTGTAATAAATGCTGGGTAGAAGAAGTCAGGATGCTGAATAACAGTGTGGTTTCAACTATATTATTGGGTATCAGAAATCACACGAGGCAACTTTTTGAGTTTAGGACCCTGTTACTTAACACTTCATCCATCACAGAACAGGGCCAGAAGAACTCTCCTTCTACCCACCATTATGTATCTTGAGGCAACGTGTAGGTACCTACAGGTAGATGCCCCTATTTCAGGGAGGCCTAAAGTGTAGGGGTGGAACATGTGGTTTATATTCAGCAAGATAGTTCCCCCTAAGGCCCCCTAATGCTTTCAAGATGCTGACAGAGCCATTAATGACTCTCAGAGAAGATCAGATTTACTTCACTTTCTTTAGAATTTTTCTGTGTAGTCCAGGCTGGCCTTGAACTCATGATCCACCTGCCTTAGCCTCCCAAGTGCTGGGCTTACAAGTGTGAGCCCCTACGTCTAACAAGATTAGATTTTTCAATTAGAACGAAGCCTATTTTGAATAAATAGTTGGTGGTTTTACTGGCTTAAAATAAAGTTGAGAGTGTTAATAAGGCTACATATGTCAGGAATTTTGGAATGGTAGAAGTTTGGCAAATCCCCTCCCCCAACCAATGGTAAAAAGTCAACCATTGCAAGACTGGAAATTAACCAATAGCATATGACAAATTAAGAGCTTATATTCAAGAAAAAAAAATTGAACCTTGGTCATGAACAGTGAGCATCTGTGGTATTTTGTCCTAGAGCTGCTTTTGTCATCCTTCCTTCTTCCCCTTTCATCTAAGTGGTAATTCTGCCTGGAAAGTGCAGGTTGTGAAAAAACTGGCCTCTGTTGATGATGGGGTCTGAGTTGATTTGGAATAGAGTGTATAATCGGGGGTTTTGATAAAAAACAGTAACGATCTCAATTGAAATAAAATTGAGACAATAACTTCTGTAACTAGTTTGAAGTTTGTGATATTAATTGGGACAAGCAACAGACAAGCTAGAAATTGAACAGGGAAATCCAGAGAATGAGGGAAACCCCAAGGGCTCATACATATCCTGATGGTCTGAAAAGACTGTGTACGTGGGCACAGTCACGTATGACTTAAGAGAGATCAGTGAAGAGCCTAGGTATTTATGCAGTCTTCCTGGCTGAATGTGAGGTCTGTACCTGTGAGAGGAGACTGAGAAATTTCAGCAGGGAAAAAAAAGGCCAGTTTAGACTTATAAATTGCTTGATTTTTTTTTTTCCTTTGGCAGTACTGGGGCTTGAACTCAGGGTCTCATGCTTGTTAGGTAGACACTGTATCTCTTGAACCACACCCCTAGCCCATAAACTGCTTGTTGATCTTTGACTTGTGTTTCCTAACCCATACATAGATCCATTGGCAAAGGGTAAAATGTGCTCTGATCAATGGCTGATCACTAAACTATGCTTATCCAGGAGGAGCCTTAGGAAGCCAAGCTTAAAAATAATAATAATAAAAAAAAAGGGGGGAAATGAGCAAGAATATCAGTGCAGGGGTGATAAGATTGTAGAATTAGAGGACTGACAGAGTGGCTCATGTGGTGCAGTTGCCTGCTTAGCAAGTGTGAAGCCCTTAGTTCAAAACCCAGTACTGCCAACAAAAAAATTGTATAAGTAGTGTAATATTTCATTAAGTATAAGCAAAGACAAGAGCTTCCAGTGGAGGAGTTAGAATTCAGAGTTGGTACAGCATGTTATCTAAGCTGTTGTGTCTTTAACATAAATTACAAGACATGAACAGAAAGAGGAAAGTATGGTCCATGCATAAGGGAGAAAAAGCAGTCAATAGAAACTATCTTTGAGGGAGCCCAGATATTGGCCTACCAAACATTTCAAAGTAGCTACTATAAATATATTCAAAGAACAACAGTAAACCATATTTCAAGAATTGAAGGAAAGTGTTTCAATAGTTTCTCAGAGAATATCAATAACAGAAGATCATAAAGAGCCAAATAAACTATACAGGTGGACAATAAACAAATTCATTAAATCTGCTCAATGGCAGATTTGAGCTGGCAGAAGAATTAGTGAAAATGAACATAGGCAAATGGAGATTATCTATCTTGAAGAACAGAAAGAATTAAGAAAAATGAATGGAAACTCAGACTTGTGTAATGTGAGCAAACATACCAATATACTTATAATGGGACCCCTAGAAGGAGAAGAAAGAGGCAGAGAAAATATTCGAAGGATTAATTGCTGAATCCCTCAAACTTCATGAAAAATACTTATCTATGCATCCAAGAGACACAGTCCAGTGAGGATAAACACCAAAAGATCCACACATTATTGTCAAACTACTAAAAGCCAAAGACAAAGTTTTGCAAAGAAGCAAAATGCAGTATTTCATCACATTCGGGGTGATACATTCAGACCCACAGAGTGAAGGCAGTGGATTGATATATTTGAAGTACTAAAAATACAAGTCAACCAAAAGTTTTATATTCAGTGATTTTTACCCTTCAAAAATGGAGGCAAAACAAAGATAGCCCCAGATAAACAAAGAAAAGTTGTATAACTAGCTGATTTGCTTTATAAAAAAATACTAAAAGAAATCCTTCAGTATGAAAGGAAATTATACAGATGGTAACAAACATCTTCACAAAGAAATAAAAGAGTACTTATAAAAGAACGATATAAAGAATCAGTGAGTACAACCACTCTGGAAAAAAATTTGGAGGCTACTTAAAAAGCTAGACATTGATCTACCATTTGATCCAGTAATACCACTCTTGGGGATATACCCAAAAGACAGTGGCACAGGTTACTCCAGAGGCAACTGCACACCCATGTTTATTGCGGCACTATTCACAATAGCCAAGTTATGGAAACAGCCAAGATGCCCCACCACTGACGAATGGATTAAGAAAATGTGGTATCTATACACAATGGAATTCTATGCAGCCATGAAGAAGAACGAAATGTTATCATTCGCTGGTAAATGGATGGAATTGGAGAACATCATTCTGAGTGAGATTAGCCTGGCCCAAAAGACCAAAAATCGTATGTTCTCCCTTATATGTGGACATTAGATCAAGGGCAAACACAACAAGGGGATTGGACTATGACCACATGATAAAAGCGAGAGCACACAAGGAAGGGGTGAGGATAGGTAAGACACCTAAAAAACTAGCTAGCATTTGTTGCCCTTAACGCAGAGAAACTAAAGCAGATACCTTAAAGCAACTGAGGCCAATAGGAAAAGGGGAACAGGTACTAGAGAAAAGGTTAGATCAAGAAGAATTAACCTAGAAGGTAACACCCATGCACAGGAAATCAATGTGAATCAATGCCCTGTATAGCTATCCTTATCTCAACCAGCAAAAACCCTTGTTCCTTCCTATTATTGCTTATACTCTCTCTACAACAAAATTAGAAATAAGGGCAAAATAGTTTCTGCTGGGTATTGAGGGGGGGAGGAGAAGGAGGGAGCGGAGTGGGTGGTAAGGGAGGGTGGGGGCAGGGGGTAGAAATGAACCAAGCCTTGTATGCACATATGAATAATAAAAGAAAAAGGAAAAAAAAAGAATCAGTGAAGAAAAGAATTGGTTCTTTAAAAAGATAAACAAGAGTAATAGACTCTTAACCAAAGTAACCAAAAGAGATAAGACCCAAATTAATAGACTTAGAGATGGAAAAGTGAATATTGTAACAGATACAAATAATCCAGAGGATCATTAGGGATTAATTTGAAAACTATGCTTCATAAATGGGGAAATCTAGAAAAACTGGATAAATTTCTAGATAACTATGGCCTCTCAAAATTGAACCAAGAGGATATAAAAAACCTCAACAGATCAATAACAATTAGATTGATACAATAATAAAAGATCTCCCAATACAGAAAAGCCCAGACCAGATGGATTCACTGTTGAATTTTACCAGACATTTAAAGAAGAGCTAATACAAATACTCTTCAAACTAATCCATAAAACAGAAAGGGAGGGAACACTTCCAAACTTCTGTGAAGCCAGTGTTACCTTGATACCAAAACCAGATAAGGACACAATAAAAACCATAAGCCAATTTCCTCTGTAAAAATAGACACAAAAATCTTTAACAGAATATTTGTAAACCATTCAATAGCACATTAAAAAGATCACACAACATGATTACATTTGTTTCATTATGAGGATGCAAGGATGATTCAGTATACATAAATTAATAAATGCAAGATGGCACCTAAATAATGTCAATGACAAAAATCACGATCATCTAATAGATTCAAAATTCAACATTCTTTCATGGTAAAGCCCTCAAAAAGTAGGGGTAGAAGTACCATATGTCAACAATATAAAGATCATGTACAACAAACCATAGCCAACATCATAATGGGGAAAACTGAAAGCATTTTTTTCTTAAAATCAGGAATAAGACAATGCTGACCACTCTCACCACACTTTTTCAATATAGCATTTGAAATTTTAACCACAGCCATACATCAAGAGAAAGAAACAAAAATGATACAAAGAGGAAAGGAAGAAGTCAAATTATCCATATTTGCAGATGAATAACTTTTTTTGAGACACGGTCTTGCTATGCCTCAAACTCAAGATCCTCCTGCCTCTGCCTCTCAAGTACTGGGATTACAAAAGGAGTGTATATAATCAAAGCAAATTATATGCATGTATGAACATATCACAATGAAATCAACTATGATCAATCTGTGACAAAAATAAATTTATGATGTCTGATGTCTTGGGGTAACAAGTTTCTTAGATAGTGCATCTTCTGTTATGCAAATTATACCTCCATAAAGCTGTTAAAAAGTATCCCTATGGAATCTACTAATGTCGACTATATATATCCAAGGCTCCAGGGGAACTGCCTTTGTTCTAGCCCTCCTCCAATCTGTAGAAGTTTCTCTGAGGATTCAGAGGGCTCACTAGGTTCATCTGGTCTACTTTAGGCCTGGTGATTTATGGGCATAATGGGGCAATACAGGTCATGGTTGTGACCCAGGTATTATGAAAAGGCAGCAGTGTGGAGATGGTTGAATTGTAATATTTCCTTTTCCATTGTTTTCACCTGGACTTTCCGTCTTGGTGCTGCCCTAAAGATCTGTGTGATAAAGGTGCTTTAGATGACCCCACAGAGCTGCCTGAGGACAGTCCTCAAAATGTGTGGGGACTATCTCTAATACAGATTTCCCTTGGGTCCAGTCCTTTCTTTATCTTGGCCATTCAAGTCCCCACATCCTCTTTTTGAGAGGATATGTCCTAGATATAACTGGCCAAGCTTTTTCATTTTTCAGACATTCTAAAACTCCTCCCACAAATCTTCCCTGATTATTATATTTTAACCTTTATTAGAAATATATTGGCCCTACTGTGATGCATGCTATAATGACCATGGCTTTGTAGTCAAGTATATGGCTTATCATATGATTTGGGCAAGTTTCTTAGTTTCTTTAAGACTTTCTTTTTGAAATCTGTAAAATGGAGACAATCATGTTCACCACAGAGGGTTGGTGTGAAGATGTAGCAAGATCGTATGTGGAAAGGCATGAGTACCAGTGCATAGTCAGTGTCCCTTGTTAAATCACAGAGTAGAGTGGGTAAGACCATGGGCTCTGGATTTTAATCCATGCTTTTCTTCTTCTAGTCAAGTGACCAGGGATAACTTCCCTAATTTCTCTCCTGAACCTGTAAAATGAGAATTTTGATAGTACCTACTTTGTTAAAGATGTCTGAATGACATGAAATAGCATGTAAAGCACTAAACACTGCCTACTATAAATAAGTATATACAGGTAGCAGTAACTATAATCTCCCTAGTCAGTATAGTGCCTTCATTCTCTTGGAGCATGTGGATTAAATTTAAGAGTTACAGAAACACAGTGATGTCACCTGCATGACCAGATAGACCTGGTTGGCCTGACTGGTGGGGTGTGAATCTCCTGTCTTACTACTCCATATGCATCTTCCCACTGTGTGCTGATTAGAAAGGGCACCTTCCCCATAGAGAAAAAGAATTATCCTCTGAGTAAGCCAGTGGTTAGATTACTCTGCTGGACCATATCTCCCAGATCTTCCCCCAACCATAGATCTCTAAAATCTCTCTGTGCAGCACTGTGGGGTCTGAGAAACCTTGTAAATTGGTCTCTTCTGCATAGTAGCCTGCAAGTACCATAAAGTGGAAGCAGCAAGGCCTTGTTTGAGATAGTAGCAGGGATCTGCTCTGTTCTCTTGTCTCAGAGATCACCTCATTGGAAACTGACTGATCATTAATTATCTCTTCTGCTTCAATCTCAGCTGATTATTTACCTTGGAACCAACCAAGACGAGAGCCGCTTCGTCCACCACATAACTACCGGCCCGCGTCTAACAAGTTTGATAATAGAACCACACACCAGGATGACTACTCCATGAAGGGCCTTGTGAATACCATGAGCTGCAAACCTCCGCCATGCCAAAGCTCTGCAACATCCCCTTGGAAGACCTGACTAACTACAAGATGAGCTATGTGACCCACCCTCTGGAGAAGCGCTTTGTGCATGAGGCTGACAAGTTTAGACCCTGTGAAATCCCCTTTGAGAGCCTCACCACTCACAAAGAGTCATACCGGGGGCTAATTGGGGAGCCTGCCAAGAGCCTGAAACCACTATCCAGGCCCCCAGGGCTAGATATACCTTTCTTTAACACCACTGAGTTTCGAGATAAGTACCAAGCTTGGCCAACACCCCAGGTGTTCTCCAGGGCTCCCATCACTTATGCCCCTCCTGAAGAGAAGATGGATTTTCTGACAACTGTGCAAGCACATTACACATACCCTAAGGGTTCCCCTGCTCAGTCCTGCTGGCCAGTACTCCCCATTAAGAAGAGCTGCCTCTTCGAAGGCTCCACCACCACCAAGGATGACTATAAGCAGTGGGACAGCATGCGCACAGAGCCGGTGAAGCCTGTTCCCCAGCTGAATTTTCCTGCTGAGCCTTTGGACTGTCTGACTACCACTCAGGCCCACTATGTGCCCCACCCACCTAGCAATACCAAAAGCTGTAAGCCCCCTTGGTCTGGCCCTCGAGGAAATATCCCTGTAGAGGCCCAGACTACCTACTCCATCAGCTTCACTCCCAAGGAAATGCGCAGGTGCCCAGCCTCATACCCTGAACCCCCTGGCTACATCTTTGAGGAAGTGGATCCTTTGGGGCACAGAATATATAGGGCTGTTTCCCAGGTAGGATCTCAGAGGAACAGCCATCTTCCCATAGATGATGCAGAAAACCCTAAGCAGAGGGAGCTGGCAGTGTCAGCCTAACTTTGAAAAACTGTTATATAGAAATCACACAATACTTTTAAAAACAAATGATTGGAATTATTCATTGGACAAAAAAAGAATTTCCCAAAATGAAAAAAAAAATCAAAACACAAACAAAAAACTTCACTATCAATTCCAGGACATTTGAATAAAATGAGAATCATGTGACTCAAGGAAAATGACATTTAGTCACTGGCTGATGAACTCCTCTTAATTCTCCCTCTATTGTCAACTCTTCCAATCCCCTCAGGTCCTTTCCTTTGTGCTCATGGAAGCAAAGCTGGTCTCAATGATGTTTTATGATCCAGATGTATTTTATTAGTTTAATTATTGTATGAATTGACATGATTAACCCTTGGCAATTTTGACGTGCCAAATAATAAATTTTATTTTGGGGGGATTGACTCTGTAGGTCTGTGTGTTCACCCTTATGTGCTGTCCATGCAGAGAGCAGTCTGTGTTGCTTGGGACCTTTGGGAAGATTTCATATAAATTCCTTACTGCATCCCAATACTGGTGAGGGTTCTTTAGGCCTGGTCTGGAGTCTTGTTTTGGGTTCTCTGTGATCAGGGCTGCTTCACAGGGCATTTATGTTTGTTTTTACTACTATTGTGCTGTACGATGAGGCATGAGTCTCTTGACTCAGGGGTGACAGAGGGAGGAGGAAGAGGCCCTGTGGCAGTCCTAGTGGTGCATGACCCTCCCACAGATCTCTCCTTTTCCCAAACCATTGCAGGCTTTGATTCTAGGGAATGGGGAGGGTTGGGGAGAGACCCTGACAAAGAGGCAGTAGAGAACTGGCCCAGGACTGTGGGTAGAAGCTGTGTGCTTTTCTAAATTCTCAAGCCTAGAACAAATCATCCCAGACTGTGTAGATTTCTGGAAATCCAGGCCTGCTTGTCCTAAAATGACAGCTGTGACCAAATCTGTGACAAAGCTTAACTCAGGTTTGAGCTAGGCCCTGCCCTGGAGATTTCTCTTTTGGGCCTAAGGTTTTACCAAATGCAATTCTAAGGCCAAGTAATTTGGAATTTTTTAGTTGGATAGAATTGAGGAAAGACATTTTGTTTAAGAGGGCTCCCTTGCCTAGGGTCAGACAGGCTTATGGGTCTGGATGAGTCTCACGCAACACAGAAAGCCACAGACTTGACACCTTTGTCAAGTCTTTTAAGCCCATAGAATCCTTAAACATACTCATTGTCCTAGGAAACTTGAGAACAGGGTAGAGGAGGTGAGATTTCAACTCTAAAGAAGTAGGCTTATGCTTAGGGCCTGATTCCTGAGAGAGGAACTGGTGTCTTCTTGTCTAGGGCTCAGTCTTTCCATCGCTCTCACCTACCTGGTCCCCATTCCTTGCATCTTCACTATGAGCTTAATTTCCATCCCTGAGTCAGGGTCTATATTATGTAATCCTCTTGTTGTTAACATGGAGTCTACCCTCACAGGGTAGGGACGCTCATGCATGTTGTTAAGCATGTTCCCCAAGGCTACACAGCCCAGGGCAGCAAAGTCAAGATTGGAATCCAGGTCTTCTGACTCCAGATCTGCTTTCCCAATATAGGGACCTCCCATATTCTCTCATCTTATCTTCTGGCTCCAAAACGCACATCAAACCACATATATGAATTTGCTGTAATACACTAGGCTAATGGAGAATACAAAGAAGAGTAGTGTTATCATTTCAATCTAAAATGACCCACAAAAGGTCATGTATTGAAGACTTGATTGCTAATGCGGCAGTGTTCAGAGATGGAGCCTTTGGGAGGTGATGGGTAATGAAAGTTCTACCTTCATTAATGGAAGGGTTGATAGCTATATGGGCTATTAGGAGGTTGTGGAAACTTTAGGAGGTGGGGCCTAGTTGGAAAAAGTAAGTCATTGGGGTTGTACTCTAGAAGGGGGTATTTTGTCCCAGGCTCTTCCTCTCTTTATTGCTCCCTGACTGCCATGGAGTGAGCAGCTTTGCTCTCCCACTTTCTCCCCATCATGATGATTCTGCATAACCAGAAACAATGGAGCCAAGTGACTGTGGATTGAAGCCTCTGAAAACATGATCCAAAATAAATCTTTCCTTCTTTAAGCTGATTTTTCCTTAAGTATTTTGTCATAGTGATGGGAAGCTACCACAGGTTTTATTTTTGTTTCATCATTTTTTTACAAATCAAAAAATACTAGATTTGAAAAGCCAAAAACAGTGCTAAAATGATTATGCAAATGCAGCAATTTCCATCCCAGCTCCTCTATCCTCCCTTATGATCTATCCTTCCTTATATTTCCCCAATTTAAAATTTTCAATTTTTCTTTTTTCTAATACTTTTCACATTCCTAAAAATATGCATGTATGGCTATTTGCTGATCCACTGATTTTAGACATGGAATATTTTGGTAGATTAGGATTTTTAATTCTTATATGCTCTCCCTTCTTCCTTCAGTATAGTTATATTAAGGTGTTTAGTAGCATCAAGACTAATAAGTTTTTCTAATATGTCTGATTGCTAGGAGAGGGTGAAGCTGAAGGATGGTATTGACTTGGCAGAATAAGGGGCACTGAGCACTCTGTGAGCTTTGCCATTGTGATATTTAGGGGAAGACTTGCTGGTCATCTCCATAGTGACCCCAGGTGGGATGAGCTATATAGGCATAACTCTGCTTCACTTGGCCTTAGGAACAATTTCTCACCTTCCTACTTACCCATTTTTGCTTCAAAATTAAAATATTCTTAATATTATTAAGGTAATTAATATAAATAAATTCAGAAAATGTGTAAAGGCCACAAGTAGGTATTATGAGGAGTAGTGATCATGGTGCTAAAAGTATGCATGATCTTTGGAGTCCAGTAGACCTGGGACTGGACCTTGCCACCCACTAGCTCTGAGGTCTTGATAAAATTCTTTTGCATGTTAAAATGTGGATAATAATATTTGTCTCATGATTTTGTTGTTTGACTAAATGCAACAGGAGAACTTTAGAGAAAATGCTGAGGGCCAGAGATTGGAGGAGAATATCCACTATTTTGATGGAGCCCAGCTGTTATACATTCTTCTAAACAAGGAACAAATACTGATTTTTACTTTTCTTTTATAAATTTTTTGATTGGTAGTTTATTTTCCCTCCCTTTTTATTTTCCTATCCTTCAGCAATCTTTGACTATTGCATCTTTCTCTGTGATAATTAAACTTCAGCCCACACACTTCATCTCCTCCTCCCATCTTCCTTATTTTTCCTAACTCTACCTTATTTTTGCCACTTAATTTTTAAATCCTACACATATATTTTTTTCTAACCCCCTAGTGTGCCTCACAAGAAAGCTAGTACCTTTTACATATAATGTGATTGGGGGTGCAGATAATGTTGCCAAATTTTTTTTTAACTTCATGTGAAAATGGTTTGATTTTGAATTGGTGAATTTGTTACTGCCAGGAAGCGGCAAGAAATGGCACATCAACCCTGCTACTACCTACCCAGTCCTGTCAGAATATAGAGAATAATTCAACTGAAAGACTTGGGGGTGATTAAAATCTCCAACCAATGACTTGACTTCAGATGAGCAAATCTCAATGAAAAACCACAAATATGAAAAATAAGGCAGCATGACACTTAAAAAAAATCCCACAATAAAGGATTTGAATGATAATGAGTGAATGAAATCTCAAATATTAAACTCAAGAGAATGATAAGAATGATCAATGAAATTGGAGTACATGTATAAATACGTCAATGAATTCAAAGAGGATAAAAAACTGATAAATGAATTCAAAGATGATACAAATAAACAGCTGAATGAAACAAGGAAGTGGGGAAATATATGAAAAGGAAATTCAATAAAGATATAGAATGCCTGAAAAGAAGTTGAAATTCTGGAAATGAAAAGCTCTATAAGTCAAATAAAAACTAAATTGAAAGCCTCTTGAGTAGACTGGATCAAATGGAAGGCAGAATATCAGGGCTTAAAGATTAGGCAGATGTAATAGAAAAATTAGGTGAAGATAAAGAATGAAGAAATATAAATGGAGCATACAACATCTCTGGGACCATTAAAAAAACAAATCTATGAAACATGGGCATAGAGGAAGGAGAATAAGTGCAGGATAAAGGCATAGGAAACATTCAATAAGATATTATAAAACTTCCCAAATCTGAGAAAGAGATGCCCATCCAGGTACAGGAGGCTTTTAGGACTCCAGACCAGAATAGGATCTCACCACATTAAATTATAGTTAAATCATTTATATGGAACAAGGAAAGACTATTGAAAACTGCAAGAGAGAAGTGCTAAGTTGACTATAAAGGTGAACCCAGGAGGACAGCAGATTTCTCAATAAAAACCTTAAAAGTACTTAAAAAGTACTGAAAGAAAATTACTGGCATCTCAGATTACCCAGCAAAGCTATCATTCATAACTGAATGAGGAATAAAAACCTACGATAAAAACTAAAGCAATTATTGACCACTAAACCAGCACTGCAAAAGATATTTAAAGGAATCCTGTAAAGAGAAATATAAATGTAACCATGAAAACATGGGAAAATATAAATCTCACCAGATGAGTAGATGAGAAAATGAGGAGTAGGGAAGAATCAAACAGTAAAAAACCAAAATTACAGGAATTACTGTATTCTTTTAAAATCACTCAGAATGTTAATGGTGTTGATTTTCCAGTAGAAAGACACAGATTGATAGACTGGATTAAAAAAACAAGACCCAAGAATTTGTTGCCCAGAAGAAATGCACTCATTGACAAAAACTTGAAGTGAAAGGATGGAAAAAGATATTCCTAAGGAAATGGAGCTTGAAAGCAAGTAGGAGTATCTGTACACATTCTGATGAGCAAACCTTCAAAATTAGAAGAAAAAAGGTCACTTCAAATTGATAAAAGAAATAATCCATCAGGAGACTATAACAATTGCAAATATATACACTCTAAATGTCAGCAAACCCATTTTCATAAAGGAAACACTACTGGACATAAAACCTCAAATAGACCACAACCCAATAATAGT